CGTGACACACTCGAGGTTGGGCGAGGAGGGGTTATTAAGAGTTGTAAATCGATCTCGTTGGAATAATTTGCTTGCTTCCGTTCCGACCGGTGTACAGATTGCCGATAATCGCGTGGCTGCCAACGTACTGTGTAATTACGCGGGAAAAATTATTCGAAGATAATGCGAGAGTAATGCAAGGGGGAGGGCCTGACCTAATTAGCGACGCTCTTCTTTCTTTCTTTCTTTCTTTTTTTTTTTTATATATACACCTTCGATACGGCGTTTAACGAATAGAGGTGAGGACATTTAGCGGATGGGTTGCGAAATGAAGTGGAACAGGATGTAGGGAAGGCCTCTTTTTCCTTATCCCTTATTATTTAATATATTAATCGTCGTTGTGGATTTCACCTGGTGAAAAAAAGTGGTGAGGGATGATTTTTTTTTTTTTCTTCTTTAACGAGAAATATAATGACACGACATTGACGTTGAAAATATGTAGATACTCGATAGCGTCTCGTGTATTTAACAAAATCTTCTATTCGCAATTTGAAGATATACTTATCTCCAGGTGTATTTATTGTATTAAGGAAATGGGACGAGATGTCCGGATCTACGCGAAGAGTTCAAGTTACTCGATATCTCCGGCCGAAAAGGAAGCAAAAAAAGAAAAGAGCGGAGATATAATATATATCTGTCGGTCGGTGACGTTTCTGGACCACGGCAACCGAAATGTCACCGTTCGAAGCGAAGAGAAAGAGAGAGATTTCTTTTCGGAGGAAGCGATTGGCTGCGTCTCGTGGAATCGGGTTAATCAGCGAAAAAGAGGCACGGATCGAAATCGTATCGGCCGCTGTTTTCGAGGATCGTGTCGCGGAGAGATAAAGCGCGCAAAGGCGGACGTTGGCCGATCATCGGACGAAAGGGGAGGACCAGATTCTGGATGCAGCTGTCGCCTGCTTTAAAAGGCGAGCCAGCGACGACCGCCAGCTTTTCGACAAGACAGAAAATACGCGGAATTCATGGATGCGCGCGTCCCTCCACCACCGAGGAGGAGTTGGGATGGCTTCTTACGTCCGACCGTGTCGTGTCGTCCCCTTCTCGTTAACCGTTTACACATATGCCTCTCCTCGCTGTCGATGGACCCGGCTCGTAAATTAGTTGTAAATAGGGCAGCGCAACAAAAGGGGCACAAATTGGATCCCCTCTTTTCGCGTTTGAAAAGAAAAAAAAAAAAAAGAAAGAAAGAACGAAACGGTGAACGAATATTAATAATTTTCTCATTGAATTTCTTCGCGGGCGAGAAATCGGTGTTAAAATGTGGCAAAAAGAGATCGAGAGAGGGATTATTTCGGATAAATACGAATCCTCTTATGAAAGAAACAAACGAGAACGCACACGTGTCTATTCCCGTTGTAATTAAAAATCAAAAGATCGATTCGATTCTCTTCGACTAACTGGTTATTTTTTACCCAGAGAGGTTAATCTTTGGTGAATAAATCATAAATCATCAGGCTTATTATTCATTTCAGGTTTGATATTTTTAAAAATGTAACGAAAAAACGGAACAATTCCTCTCGTTCTCGGTCGGCGAAGAATCGTCGTAAAAGTGCATAAAATAAATCCTCGATCCATTCGCGACGAATCCTTGGAGGTGATATTTCGAAGCCGGCGCGTACGGGCCCCGGCCATTGTATCCTCCTCCTCCTCCTCCTCGCGCTCATTAAATATTAACGAGAGTCTCAATTTCTTCATTTCGTTGATGAGTCGCCGCGCGCCATCCGAGAACCCGCATATAGATTGAAAATTAACTTATATGAGCGGCGGCGAAATATATGTGTATACAGCGCCGTACAGCTCGCTGCACTTATACGACTCCGGGGCCTACAATTTACACGAGAGGTCCCTATGTTGGTATAACCCCTAAGTAGAAGATCCTCGTCTTCTTTTTTCTTCCGCCTCTCGACCTTCCTCCCCCTCCTCCTCCTCCTTCGCCGCTTCTCCAGCCTTCTCCCACCCTCGCATCCTCGGCGGCCCTCCTTCCACGATTCTTTCACGCACGAACGTGAAATCCTTAAATACCTAATTTGATGCTAATTAGAACTCGCACTTGCTCTGAACGGGCGGATCTCGCCGCGTGTGGCGAAAATACGAGGGGAGGAACGATTGAACCGGTTGTCGCTTATTGATATTTCCAGGGAATCCGCGAGCGGGTTTCAAGATTTCACAGGATGTGAACGCGCGCGAATAAAATTTCACGTTTCATGGCGGTGTGCAGCGGCTCGCCTCTATTCGTACGGTTTGCCGGCTTCGAGGAGAGGCTTCGAGAAGGCCTCCTTTCGGGAAGGGATTGGGACTTAATTTGCGATTCAATTAAGAACGAGACTCTCCGGGGATCCTGTGAAACGTTGGATGATTTTGGGGCTACTTTGTGCGAGTCTTGTGAGAGCGGTTCCTTCCTTTCTTCCTTCTTTTCGAAACGATCGTTTCGATTTTGAGATTGAATTTATGGAGGGAAGAGGAATGAATGTAATGGTGATTCGAAGTAAGGAAAATATTAGCACGAGATGAATTTGGGCGGAGAATGGAAGAAAGTGATTAATGCACATTTTCAAAGTCCAGATGCGTACGTAACTATTTATTTATACGATAATAGTCGCACTCGAATGCTGCACATTAATTTTCATCTATACAGTTTTTATAATATAATTGTTCCACCCACGACGCTTTATTATTATTATTATTTTTTTTTTCTTTTTTTTTTTTTTTTTTTCTTTTTTTCTGTTTCGATCTTTTTAAGACGCTGACGTACATTAATCGCTATGCTACGCATGCCTAACACGCGACTGACTGCCGCCACCTCGCCGACTGTGTGTGCACACTATTCCCCGCGATTCGACGCGTCGAGCCTCCACCTTCCGGGGGCGGGGAGGGGAAGATTTGTTTGTTTGTGTCGCAAAATGTGGAGAGAAAAGACCCGATCGCGGTAATTGACGAGATGTCGATTTGTCGAATGAGCGTGGAAATTTTCAAAAATTGGGCGAGGATAAATCGCGATATTTTAGAAATTCCAAAAGATCGGGACGATCTTTTTTAATATCTCGAAACGTCTCGTCGCTTAATTCGATAATCGATAAATATCATTTTTTTTTCCTTTTCTTTTCTAATTACGACGGTGTATATATATAAAAATTATAAGTTCTCGATCGCGCGTTACAAATAAATTTTCATCTTCTCGTCATAGGAATCCGCGTTTCTACTTTTTTTTTTTTTTTCCCCTTTTTTTTTCATTCTTCCGTTTACGAAAACGCTCAACGAGTGTATCACGAAAGTTCGTGTTTTCTTTTTTTCTTCTTATCTTTTTGTTTTTTCTCCCGATATCCATCACTTTGCTACACGACGATGTAGGTCGGGATGATCCCAAGCCTTATTGTTTAACGTCGCTTGCGTCTGGCTAAAAAAAAAAACTTTGCGATCCGTCCGCCTAATTCTCATTGTTTCTAATATACATACTGCGTGTCGTCAGTGGTCGAACGAGTGTATCTCGTGTCGATCGAATCCAAACCCCCTGATTTAGACTTAATAACTCACTTTTCTACCATAACTCTTCCTTCGAATTTCCCCAATTTTTCGATCGAGACGAATAAACGTGTGAGAAACTCAAACATCTAGCGGTTATCGATAATAATAATAATTTCGAAGACATTGAATTCGATCGCCACATCGTACAAAAAAAAAGAATTTCGTGTCTTAGCGCTACTCGTATGTACTCGTTTTTCTTTTTTTCTTTTTTTTTTTTTTTCTTCTTTTTTTGGCACGAGGAGAGGAACGCCGTTTTACCACACCTGTCGCTCGTTCGTTCGCGATTCTCTAGCCCGTAAATCGCCGTTATCAAAAAGTGTCTTCGTGACACGGTACTCGGCTAAAAAGGAGGAGTGAAGCAGCGCGCGTAGTCGGGCCGGTGTGTGTATGCGCAAGATCGAGGTATCGAAGCGATAGGGGCCGTATCGATCCATCATGATCGTACATACTTTTATACTTCCGTCGAATGCGAGTTTAAAAAGGGAAGAGTTATCGTAAAAGGAATTTTTCCTCGATGATAAACATCTATCCTTTCTCCCTTGAAATGGCTCGTTCGTTACGTTCGAGGGAACAGTTAAGAGGCGGGAGAAAAGAGAAGAATAATCGTTCGAATAATCGTGTCTTCGAAATGAAAAAGATAAAAATTTCATTGTCGTGAGAACGGGTTTTGTCCCCGAATATATATCGATTACCACCCAACGGACCCAACTCGCGCTCTCGCTAGCGAGACAAACTATCGCCTATTAAGTAATTCTTTGGTAATTCGGATGTGCATGGAACTATGATTATTATCACTGATTACTTAAATATAAATCCGATCCAGCCGAAAACGCTGTGGCAAGCGTCTCCCGATCTCTGTCCTCCTGTTGCATTTCCTCATAGTCATAGGACCTCATTGACCGTTTCCTGGCGAGCGAGAAAGAATCGAATTCTTTCCTTCGTTTATCAATTTATCAGAGATTAGATTAGATAGTCTCGCTTTTAAGCTCGTTCACGCGCAAACCAAACGTCCGAAACGTTCGATAGTTGATGGATCGGCCGATCGTTTTTAGCGTTGCTCGCCACGTAAATCGAGCCTGGTGATCGATGAACGCTCGTTTGTTCTTGTTACCTGTAATTGACGTACGCGGATTGTTGTCGAAAGTATACGTACTTATATATGTGTGTGTGTGTGTGTGTGTGTGTGTAATCGCTGAAAGGCGTTTAACAGAATCAGCCTCGCTCAAACGAATGCGATAATTGCTAGGTTTTGACAAGCTCGTAAGGAAGAAACCGTTTCCAAGCTATTAGTAACCGCGAACATCTTCATTCACGTGATCGTCTCTTTCTTATTAATTAAGAAACCTAGGAACGAATTGAAATTGAAATCGCTCGGTGTTCCATCGAACAAACGACGCAATATTCTTTCACGGATCCTTCAAGATCAGGGAGCGATTCTGGGATCATGGTTGCTCGCCAAGAAATTGGTCAGAATGAGGTCTCTCTCTCTCTACTAAAAAATAACGAGTCCCCTTCGCCTGGATTTCGAGTCTCAGCGCCATCTCGGAGGAGGAATATTCGATAAATCGTAAATAGAAACTTGTCCTTCCTCGCGAGTTAACGTGAGGGGGAAAAACGTGGTCCGTTCCCTTCTGGAATCGATCCAGGAGAGGAGAAAGAAGAAGAAGAAGAAGAAGAAGCTCCCTGAAAGTGGACGCTTCGAAAAGAGAGAGAAAAAAAAAAGAGAAAAAAAGAAAAAAATCGTGGAGGAAAGGGTGAAGAAAGAGCGAAGATCCTTCATCCAAGATGGCTGGAAAGGCTGCTGTAGCTGTCTTCCTCCATCTCAAGCCGTCGTCAGTAAAGATCGGAGAAGGAGACCTGAGAGGAAACGCCGGAATGTAGGTGATGAAGAGCGTGGAGCTCCTCCATCGAGGTCGACGGCATGCTGTTGCTGTCCCCCAGGATGCTGGCTGCCGGTCCTACGTTCGGCGAGCCGGCCGTGTTCGAGGGCACCGGTGTGCCTGGACACCCCACGTTGCTCGTCGTCGTGTTGCCCTCCTGCCTCATCATGTTCCGCCGCCATTTCGCGCGGGCGTTTTGGAACCAGACCTGAGCGGGGCAACCGAGAATCTTCAGGGCCTCGTTTCCTCTTCCTTCGTTTCGCGACGATTCTCTC